AAATTAAACAAAAAATCACAGAAGCCACAACTGGCTTTGTACACCTTTCTGCTTGGGATGTTATGTAGTTTGCTCTTTTCTTCATCCCTGATAGCATGCTGGAGTTTGTCGAGCCGTCTGAGGGGGTGCAATTGGGGATGAAATTTAAAAAAAAATCACAGAAGCCACAAATGGCTTTGTACACCTTTTTACTTGAGATATGTTATGAAGATAGCTATTTTCTTTATGCCTGATACCATGCTGGAGTGTCGAGCCGTCTCAGGGGGTGCAATTGGGGGTGAAATTAAACAAAAAATCATAGAAGCCACAACTGGCTTTGTACACCTTTCTGCTTGGGACATGTTATGTAGTTTGCTCTTTTCTTTATCCCTGATAGCATGCTGGAGTTTGTCGAGCCGTCTGAGGGGGTGCAATTGATGATGAAATTTAAAAAAAAATCACAGAAGCCACAAATGGCTTTGTACACCTTTTTACTTGAGATATGTTATGAAGATAGCTATTTTCTTTATGCCTGATACCATGCTGGAGTTAATCGGGCCGTCTGAGGGGGTGCAATTGGGGGTGAAATTAAACAAAAAATCACAGAAGCCACAACTGGCTTTGTACACCTTTCTGCTTGGGATGTTATGTAGTTTGCTCTTTTCTTCATCCCTGATAGCATGCTGGAGTTTGTCGAGCCGTCTGAGGGGGTGCAATTGGGGATGAAATTAAAAAAAAAATCACAGAAGCCACAAATGGCTTTGTACACCTTTTTACTTGAGATATGTTATGAAGATAGCTATTTTCTTTATGCCTGATACCATGCTGGAGTTTGTCGGGCCGTCTGAGGGGGTGCAATTGGGGATGAAATTTAAAAAAAAATCACAGAAGCCACAAATGGCTTTGTACACCTTTTTACTTGAGATATGTTATGAAGATAGCTATTTTCTTTATGCCTGATACCATGCTGGAGTTTGTCGGGCCGTCTGAGGGGGTGCAATTGGGGGTGAAATTAAACAAAAAATCACAGAAGCCACAACTGGCTTTGTACACCTTTCTGCTTGGGATGTTATGTAGTTTGCTCTTTTCTTCATCCCTGATAGCATGCTGGAGTTTGTCGAGCCGTCTGAGGGGGTGCAATTGGGGATGAAATTTAAAAAAAAATCACAGAAGCCACAAATGGCTTTGTACACCTTTTTACTTGAGATATGTTATGAAGATAGCTATTTTCTTTATGCCTGATACCATGCTGGAGTTTGTCGGGCCGTCTGAGGGGGTGCAATTGGGGGTGAAATTAAACAAAAAATCACAGAAGCCACAACTGGCTTTGTACACCTTTCTGCTTGGGATGTTATGTAGTTTGCTCTTTTCTTCATCCCTGATAGCATGCTGGAGTTTGTCGAGCCGTCTGAGGGGGTGCAATTGGGGATGAAATTTAAAAAAAAATCACAGAAGCCACAAATGGCTTTGTACACCTTTTTACTTGAGATATGTTATGAAGATAGCTATTTTCTTTATGCCTGATACCATGCTGGAGTTTGTCGGGCCGTCTGAGGGGGTGCAATTGGGGTGAAATTAAACAAAAAATCATAGAAGCCACTACTGGCTTTGTACACCTTTCTGCTTGGGATATGTTATGTAGTTTGCTCTTTTCTTCATCCCTGATAGCATGCTGGAGTTTGTCGAGCCGTCTGAGGGGGTGCAATTGGGGATGAAAATAAAAAAAAATCACAGAAGCCACAAATGGCTTTGTACACCTTTTTACTTGAGATATGTTATGAAGATAGCTATTTTCTTTATGCCTGATACCATGCTGGAGTTTGTCGAGCCGTCTGAGGGGGTGCAGTTGGGGGCGAAATTAAACAAAAAATCATAGAAGCCACAACTGGCTTCGTACACCTTTCTTCTTGGGATATGTTATGTAGTTTGCTCTTTTCTTCATCCCTGATAGCATGCTGGAGTTTGTCGAGCCGTCTGAGGGGGTGCAATTGGGGATGAAATTAAAAAAAAAATCACAGAAGCCACAAATGGCTTTGTACACCTTTTAACTTGAGATATGTTATGAAGATAGCTATTTTCTTTATGCCTGATACCATGCTGGAGTTTGTCGAGCCGTCTGAGGGGGTTCAATTGGGGGTGAAATTAAACAAAAAATCATAGAAGCCACAACTGGCTTTGTACACCTTTCTGCTTGGGATATGTTATGTAGTTTGCTCTTTTCTTCATTCCTGATAGCATGCTGGAGTTTGTCGAGCTCTCTAAGGGATGAATAAAAGAGCAAACTACATAACATATCCCAAGCAGAAAGGTGTACAAAGCCATTTGTGGCTTCTATGATTTTTTGTTTAATTTGACCCCCAATTGCACCCCCTCAGACGGCTCGACAAACTCCAGCATGGTATTAGGCATAAAGAAAATAGCTATCTTCATAACATCAAGTAAAAAGGTGTACAAAGCCATTTGTGGCTTCTGTGATTTTTTTTTTAATTTCATCCCCAATTGCACCCTCTCAGACGGCTCGACAAACTCCAGCATGATATCAGGGATGAAGAAAAGAGTAAACAACATATCATATCCCAAGCAGAAAGGTGTACAAAGCCATTTGTGGCGTCTATGATTTTTTTTAAATTTCATCCCCAATTGCACTCCCTCAGACGACTCGACAAACTCCAGCATGGTGTCTTAGATGAAGAAAAGAGCAAACTACATAACATATCGCATGCAGAAAGGTGTACAAAGCCATTTGTGGCTTCTATGATTTTTTTTATTTCACCCCCAATTGCACCCCTTAGAGAGCTCGACAAACTCCAGCATGCTATCAGGGATGAAGAAAAGAGTAAACTACATAACATATCCCAAGCAGAAAGGTGTACAAAGCCAGTAGTGGCTTCTATGATTTTTTGTTTAATTTCACCCCCAATTGCACCCCCTCAGACGGCTCGACAAACTCCAGCATGGTATCAGGCATAAAGAAAATAGCTATCTTCATAACTATCTCAAGTAAAAAGGTGTACAAAGCCATTTGTGGCTTCTGTGATTTTTTTTTAAATTTCATCCCCAATTGCACCCCCTCAGACGGCTCGACAAACTCCAGCATGCTATCAGGGATGAAGAAAAGAGCAAACTACATAACATATCGCTTGCAGAAAGGTGTACAAAGCCATTTGTGGCTTCTATGATTTTTTTTATTTCACCCCCAATTGCACCCCCTCAGACGGCTCGACAAACTCCAGCATGCTATCATGGATGAAAAAAAGAGAAAATTACATAACATATCCCAAGCAGAAAGGTGTACAAAGCTATTTGTGGCTTTTATGTTTTTTTTTTAATTTCATCCCCAATTGCACCCCCTCAGACGGCTCGACAAACTCCAGCATGGTATCAGGGATGAAGAAAAGAGTAAACTGCATAACATATCCCAAGCAGAAAGGTGTACAAAGCCATTTGTGGCTTCTATGATTTTTTTTTAAATTTCACCCCCAATTGCACCCCCTGAGACAAAGCAAAAGTTAATTGCGGGTATGGTTGCTGTGTATTGGAACTTCCCCAATTGAAATCTACAAATGAAAAGCCTCTACAGGTAATTTGAACCAAGTTATATGACTATTACGATAGAGTTATATTTTTCTCAGTGTACATTTGTGGATGTGGATAACTTCACACCCGTCATTCTGCCCCCTACAAACAATTTTTTGATAAGAGTTACTTTTGTTGTATTCAGAGGTTTTTTTTGTCTGTTTGCAGGCTAAGCTAAGAAATAATAAATCCCCCAAATATAGAAATAACAATAATTACTAAAACAATAATGTTAATATATTTATTAATTTTTATATTTATATATATGTAGTCAAGGAAATGTGTATTCAGTTCCTGAAATGGAAAAGTATGAAACACTGCTTTAATTTTTTTAAATTAAGTATTTTTGTTTTCTTTTAGACAATAAAGTAGTTTTGTAGTCATTTACTGGTATTTTATTTGGTCAATTACTCAAAGGAACTGGTCATTTACTAGGATTGATTTTATGCATTATATCTTAAAAATTATCGAATATTTTAAACAAATTCATCCAGCTATTCCTTGCTTTTTCTTTTAAAAACAAAACGAACATTTTTACAAATGTGTATATATCACTGTTGTCTAAAGTGGTCATTAACTGGACGGTTCACCCTATTTAGGTTAATAATTTTTATATTTTGGTTGCTTTATTTTGTTAATAACTAATTTCTTTAGGGCAGACAAATAAAAATAAGGCTTGGACAAACTAAAATAATGAGTGGACAATCGTCATAAATAATTTGAATTAAATGTATTAAGGTTGTCCCTAAAGACCATGCACATTAATGTGGACAAATCGTGAACAATCAAATGTCATACTTTGAAATTAATAAAAAGTTCTTATGGTGATATTGATGTCAAATCTGGCTCTAACTTTTAATTTTGTCTTAACTTTTTTTTTTTAATATCAAATTAGATTTATAACAATTTGCATTTTGAGGTACCTAATTTTATTATATACCTAATTGTCAATATAAAAATAGTTATTGATTTGATTTAAGATTAATTATTAACCAATAGATACTTGTAGAATAACTAGAATAACATTAAGAAACTAATTTGAATAGCTGGTAAGAAGGTAGGTAACTACAAGGTATTACAAAATATTAGCAAAATACCTATCAAAAGTAGATGAAAAAATATCAAACAGATTTATGAGAAATTATTTTAAATTGAGTTTACATAATAATAAAAATAATCTCAAGTCATACAAAATGTAATTGTTATTTTTTATAATCAGGTGTATCATATAATGTCATTTTCTCTTATAAGGATTGTCCTTCAATAATAAGCACAACTGAAATATTTCATCCGTAAATACAAGAAGTGTACCTATCTAATTATGATTAAATAATCACAGTAAACCCTAAAATAGCTAAATGTAAAAAATAAACTGGAAAAGCAAAAACAATATTATTGCAAAAACATTTAGATACGAGACCTAAAGGTATTACTTTAAAACTTACCGATTAAGTAATAAACACTATCATGGACCACAAACTTCACAAAATTTAACACTTACACAAAAAGTCGGTTTAATTCGTACTTTTTTTACATTACAATATTAACGTCATTCAACCACACACATATTTGACGGCGGCCATATTCCTTTTGGAATTTTTCATTTTTCACACATGTTAGTTGCTCTGGAAACCGATGTTTATAATTTCTATGTTACCAACATCAACTAAAATGTGAATATTGACGCCATCTCGTAGCCGATAGCACTATTATAGCTAACAGGTAGTACAGGCACGGTTCCTAACCGTGGTAACGTCACAAGAATAAATAATAACCAGAAGGATATCTCTCATTTAATTCCTTTGTAATTGATGCTGACGAGCTATGACCTCGTCTTTTAGTTATTACTTGTATTTCATAGGCGCACTGAAAAAAAGGTCAGAAAAATAATAAAAATTATTGGGTAGCTATTGATTTATTTTTTAAGTTCATACATTACAAATATAGGTAAGTAAAAGATTTATATATAGAAAAAATATTTACTTGTCTTTCCAAAATGACAACCTTCGTGTCTTTTATAGTTTTAAAATTTCGGTTAATACATTTAAGAGTATAAAATAATCTTACTCTACCGAATAATTTTATTAAATAATTATGTGGAAATTTTTCACATGGATGTGAAAAACTTGTATTTCTACAAATACTTTAAAACGTATCTATTACATTTTTGTGTATAATAATAGTTTCAAAATTTATTTGAAATATTACCTCTAAAAAGGAGATAAATTTTACAAAATTATTGTGTGGCATGTTTAACTTACCAAATAAATCCAAATTGGAGCTGTTATAGTAACAAAATAAAGATGTATCGTCCAAATTTTGATAGGCTTTTGAATATTTTTCGCAAATTTTACAAGAATGTATAGATAGGGCATTTTTTCATTAGGTAACCCGCAAAATACCTTTCGAAATTCATTTCTAACGTGGACTCTTTTTGATAACTGCTATCAATTTCTGGCAAATTTGATGTATGAGGATGTGTATGAGTTACGAATGATTTTGTATCCACTTTAATGACATCAGATACTCGCAGAAGCATATTATCCATGTCATTCTCGTAGTTTTGAGTTCCTGAATTGAGTAGCTTTACACAGAACAACTTTCTAAAGGTTCTTTAAAATTGAATGGCTGTTGGATTAGCACAATTACTACTTTGCTGTCTTACCAAACAAATTTTCTAACGCATCTAGGTTTAAACGTGTAGTAAAAAGAAACTTATTGTTTTTTGTTTTAAGAAAATCCCATAAATGAAGAATGGAGCTAATTGTTATTTTAAAACCTGGTATAAACTTCATTTTTTTAGTTACATCCACGTCTAGGTTATTAAAAACTTTTAAGTTGTTAGTAAATAAAATTACATTAAATTAATTAAAATTAACTACACTTTGAGATCGAAACCGGACATTTGGGTGCGATAATTATAATTTTTCAATTTTTTCTAATTGGTATATTCATTAAAAATTTTGGTCTTAAAAAAAAATAGATTATTATTTTTATTGATTTAATGAAATAAACATTAGGGTATGTATAAATAATAAGGGTATAATTAGAGTAATTCCAGAAGCATATTGGAGATTAAATATAGAAATGCCAAAAATTACCTAAATATCATAACAAGCAATTATTAGAGATAATTTAGTTTTGTAGGTCAAAAAAGAAACATTTTGATTCTTAAAAAAGGTATTTTTGTATATTACTCGCGCCCAAATCATTTATAAATAAATAAATACTGTTAAATCGACTACTTTTAATTGCGTCGTTTTTTTTTTCCTGGGCTCGTCTGACTATGTGTCTCCGAATAACACTGAAGCCTATTGGCTTATTGTGTTTAACCCCATGTTAGTTCATAGCACCCACTCTATCACCTTTGTACCTTGTACAAGTTTGTACAGATCCTTGGGTGAGTGGGTTCTATACGTTGTTGGATCAACCTGAGGTTGTCCAAAAAGAGCCTGTCTTTTGCGAGCTTCGCATTCGCACAGTATGTGTTTGGCCGTTTCTGGTTTCTTGTGACATAGTCGGCACATGAGTTCCCCATTGTACATGCCAATTTTGTTCAAGTGTCCCTTTACTGGGGCGTGCCCAGTCATGAACCCTGTTATCACTTTCAACTGGTTCCTATTCATTAAGAGTAGTTCTCCAGTTCTTTTGGGACATGGTCTGCCTGTGAAGGCTTTTTCATGTGCCTGTTTTGGGGTGCTTCTCCAATACTTGATATATTGTTCCCGAATCCAGTCATTTATAAAACCCCGGACTGTACTTTTTGGTACTCCTGGGTTTGTGTCTGGTTCCGGTGTTTCTTCTGACCCTCTTTTTGCAAGTTCGTCAGCCTTTTCGTTGCCTTCGATCCCTTTGTGACCTGGCACCCAAAATAGTTTATTGCGTCGTTGTTCTTGTAAACATTATTTTCTACTCATGTACTATCATTTGTTAATTAAATGTTAATGTTCAGTTTCATAATGATATTCATTATAGCACTGGTATTTCATTATGAAACTGAAAAATTGATCAATAGAAACCTATATTTTGTAATAATCATGTAAGCATCCAGTTATTTTCCTTTTTGACAGTTTCTGGGAGATTTATGTTCTGTGTCTGTTTAGATCTTTGATTTTGAAATATATAGGTATTTTAAATTTGACAGCAACGATAATGTTCCATGTACACTACTCGAAATTGAAGATATAAAATGTATAGTCAACATTTAGATTGGAAGCTAACAAAGGAAGTATCATATTTTTCTAAAAATGTGTTGCTTTGAACAACTCTCAACCAAATTGAAATACTCGTTACTCCATTTTAAAAACACAACTGAATATTAAACATAAAACTGATATGTGAGAGAATATCCAAAATTGCTATCATATAAAAAGAGAAAGTCCAAAGGCTATAGCGGAAAAAAATACGAAACACTTTTGGGAAATAAAAAAAGATTTATTATTTAGTTAGTTTTAACAAGTAGTCATAACAAATTAGATTATCTAAGGTTTTGAGGGATTAAAATAGCATTATAATTATTTAAATTATTCTATTTTCGATTGAAGAACTGGTTCTTGGTCGTAGAAAAAATAGGGTATGCAACTCTTATGTAATGGTTATTCATACATGATCGTTGCATAATATACTATTATTAAGATATACCCTAAGTACTGTGGGGCATCCCACCCTCCCTCAGATTAAAGATACAGAAAATATATATTCTACTTTATTTATATTACCTTTCAACATCTTGAGGAAATCTGTAAAATGAATGTGCACCGATATAAGATTTATTTTTGCAGTCTTTATAAGTACAAACAAATCCAGCTTTTCTTTTGTTTTCTTCCATAACTCACACTGTCATTAAAGCGCAACAAAATCAGAAAATAGTCAACGATAAAAATATTTAAGCAAAATAACAGAAACAACAGAATAATAATAATTATAAATTCACGATTTCAATACCACCGCCCGTGCCGGTCGCTACTGCACTGAAAGTTTCGGTGTAGCTGTGCTTGAAGGTCACGATCCCTCGAAGATCACATGATTGGAGATATCCTTCTGGTTATTATTTATTCTTGTGGTAACGTCCTGTCAAAATCAGTGAACTGTAGAATATGGTGCACGTATGGTGAGATTGCGCACAAAGTACTTCTGCAGGTCCGTTTTAGCCATTTCATATATTTGTTTTAGAGTATGGTCCGTTATTAACCGAAATATCAGTTACTCGGTCCAAAATTAACCGCTCTGCTTGACATTCCTGAAAAATCGGTTAAATTAGGAACGCGGTTACCTGAAAATGGTGACTTAAACGTCAATTCACTAACCGCTATATATTTTTACTCTGTCGCAAAAGTGACGTAAAACTCGGAAGTGGTCCAAAAGTAACCAAGAAATTAGTTTTTTTCAGGAGCAGCTGTCAAAAAATCCTGGTTACTTGCGGTTAGTATAGTCGGTTAATAACAGACCATACCCCAAGAGAAATTAATATTTGACCGTTGTGATCTCCATGGGAGTATCGACTAGTTTTTTCATCAGAATCCATAGGATTGTTTTATAGGTACCTACGTAAGACAGGCTCAGTTAATTAATGTAAATAGTATTATTTTTATTGTGAATTATTATATTTTAAGAAGGAGAAAAACAATTAAATATTTTTTCCAATTTTATTGCACTTCTGTATATTTAATAATACAATAAACATTTTAATGATGAGTTTATACACAACCACAAAAATCATTACTGAATGGAGAGTTTATATAGTTTATTTGATAAAAGCCAGACATTTTCGTTGGGCAGTCTATAACTGACGGTTTACCATAATTACAGAGTACATACTTCTTGCAATCACACCAATGAGGTTTTTGATAAACCATATCAGAATATTCGCAGTAATGGTCAGGAATCATTATGTTTTCTGGATAGTTACATTCCTCCAAGTTTGGATCGAAGTAAAGGTTTTTTGGACATGCCATGGTAATCGGATTTTTTCCCCGACACTGTATAAAATGTAAACAATTAGTCGGATCGGGAAGTAGATTTTTCGTAGTTGGACACATTTCTAAAACAATTTAAAATGATTAATGTAAAAATACAGTTCGTAATCTAAAATTAGTAAAATTATTATTTGAAATAATAAATATTTGAGATTAATCAATATTTCTAAATATCAATCAAATAATTTAAAAATTAACGAAACGCCGTCAAGATGGTAGTTAAAAATAATGTTTAAGAAGGTATAAAACTATTTTTATCAAAATATTAATACGAGTAACAAGTAATTTGAACTTTACTTTTCATAAACCAAAGAATTTGAATAATATATGCAAAGCAAAAATACCTGCGGTTACGTAGTATATTCCTAGAATATAAAAAAACACACTCTTCATTTTGATGTGAAAATCGTCAATACTAAGCTCTAAGAATCTAATTTATTGTTTATAAAGTGCCTCTGCAGACTAAAATAATTAATTGCCATTTAATCTAAATTTTATCTTTATATCAAATTAATGCGATTAACTCGTATGTAATTGCGCGAAAAAATGATTAACGTTTTAAAAGAAATTGTAAATTATATATTGTAAATTTTCGTCAGTGTCAACTACATGTACTTTTAAATGGGGGATTTACATTATATTGAAATAAGGAAAAATAATGTAAAACTAAGCTTTCATAGCATACGCCCACGTCAATGAAATTAAATAATATACAGGGTGTCTCTAAAAGCTCCTTACATAATTCATTAGACTACAATATAAAAACGCAGTTTTTTGTATTGACATATATCATTCAGCCAATCACAATTCGTCTATAAGAGAAGACCCTAATCACAAAATAGGTAATATCTATTGTGCGCCCTAACTAGGTTGCCAGACGTCCCGATTTACAGTCTGTTCGCTATACTTACGCGGGTTTCGGATTAAACATTTTATGAGTATTTCCAGGTAAGTACCCGAAAGTTTGACCTGTTCTTTGGGGAAATATCAACTGGTTAAATAAAATGAAAAATAATGTACAACTTTTTAATTAAATAATAATGGAGAATCTTTTGTATAGGTAATTGAGAGCAGAATTAAACTTCTTCATTAATGGAGTCTAATGTGGCTATTTTAAACCTAATATTAATTTTATATTACACTTCACACAGAAAATATGGTCTATGTGTAATAAGAGGGTTATTTAGTTCAAATAAAATATTTTCTAACATAAAAATTTGTTCCATGTAGAGAATTTCAAATGAAAAATAAAAAAATTGAACTTGAAAACAAAAATGAAAATCAGTCATTATCATCCAAAATATCATAATCGTCATCATCATTAATTGTTATTATGATTGGACTTATTTCGTTTATTTTATTTTCACGATTCCACCAATCTTCTATTAGTTTCCCGCACTTGGATATACAGTTCCGTCACACTTGTGGAGTTGCAATTGAAAGTGCTTTTCGCCAAGTTTCCCGAACTGCGTCGTCACTATAACCATTAGGCCCAATATGGTTGTCATAATATTGTTTTGCTATTCCCCATATATATTCTATGGGATTACACTGGTAATGATACGGTGGCAGACGTAAAACTTGATGACCGTAACTTTCAATAATCTGATCCACAACAAAGGTTTTTGGTTTTGCGTGTATATTTGCCAAGCGTAATAATTCTGATTTTAATATTTATTGAGGAAATGGTATATTTTTCTTTGTTAACCATTCTTTAATTGTATCAACAGTCCAAGAATTCTTTGGACTTTTGTTTAATATTTCAGAATGGTAAGGTGCATTGTCTAAAATAATTACGCTGGGCTCACTTAAACCTAGAAGTTTTTCATGCAACCATTTTACAAACATTTCTGTGTTCATATTATCGTGATAGTTACTGGATTTTGATTTAGATGAAAATATTAAATCAGCACCTTCTATGCATGTGTCGCTTCCCTTCTCCATCGGTATGTTTGATGGATTTTACGTTATCATCTTGCCATATTCTCTTGATTGCACCCCTAGAAAATATCCATGTTTGGTCTAAATATATAAAATTCGCCCCTTCTTCTTTAAATTTAGAATATTTTCTTAGAAAGTTAATTTTCTTGTGCAAGACAGAACTTCTTTCACAGAGGGCCTTTCTGTTATCCTCCTTTTGAAATTTGAAACCCAAGTTATGTATCACTTGCCGTAGACTTGTTCTGCCAATGTCGTCAAATTTTCTATCTATTAATTCCGAGAGAATTGTATTTAAGGTCACATGTTCCTTGTTGGCCCTCATTCGATAAATGGTATCATGAATTTCAAATTCTGGAATATCTTTCGTTTTCAATGATGAGCGAGTTTTGCGGTGATCTTCTTTTGGCAGTTCACTATTGTGATTTTGTAATACTCCTCTTAATTTGGTTTCACTAAGTCCTAGAGCATCGCATACGCGTTGTTGTACAGACATTACCAATTTTAAAGGACCGCCATTTTCTTTTTCATCCGTAAAATACTTGTGTACACTACAAATTAGACTATCTACATCTAACATACGTCTAGGCATTTTTAAAATTTTTACTAAATTTACAATATACATACAATGTCAACACTTGCAAAGAATCAATTCAACTGCATATTTGTAACAAATTTAGTACCTACCCTAATGTTATTTTAATTTTAATCTGACCATTAGGGCAATTTTACCTAATTTCTTAGGAAGAGGCTTATTGGAACTGGTTGTCGGTGATCAATGACTAATTTGCATAATTTTGTTAATCCGAAACCCGCGTAAGTATAGCGAACAGACTGTAGGTATAATTGTTCCGCTTTTTCACTTGCTAGCACGCGTCCTGCCAAAGTACGAAAATGTCCTGCTTTTTACCAAAATGTCACGCTTTTTAAATCTAAAGTTATAAATGTAGAAATTTTGGAAGAGATAAAACTTTTTTTAAAGCTCCTCATAAAAATACAAGCAGAAGAACTTTTTTTTAGATGTTCACAGAAAAGGGCCTGGTTTTATAAAAATACCTGTTTTTTTAACCTGATCCCCTTTTATATTTCTTATATCTGCCAACCCTAGCTCTAACTAAATAAAGAAATAGAAATATAGAAGAAAAACAATAAGGTTTTTGACAATAACACTCTTTTCTCTTACGGGGGTCCATCAGCATTGGGATTCTCATCTTCAAATACGGCACGTGTTGAGACGACTATCTTCGTTCCACAGAATGTGATTTGTATGTAATGTCTCTCTCTATTTGATTCGTTACGTGTTGAGTACACACATAAGAATCTCTGTCCAGGACTTTTAATAAAACATAGTTATAACCGCATATTATAGATCCCCATGCATCTACCATTAATACTTTTATAGAATCGTTAGAATAATTTCTACAGGTGAATAATAGTAATAATAAATATTGTCATTTCTAGGCGATAAAAATATAGATGTTTTATCACAAACCCAACAGATAAATGCATATCATAGCCTAATAAACCAATTTGGATACAAATCGGTCATAAATAGTCCAACAAGGATCCAGGGAAAATCTAAATCTTGTATTGACCTTATGTTCATTAAAGTAAAACAACAAACATTGTTACAAAATTACCTTTAATAATAAAAACTACAGTTACTGGCAGCTTTTCTACAGTATTACAGATTGTTCACAATTTTGCTTCAAAAAATGAAGACACAAATAGGCAACACTTCAAACAACACATTTTCTACAAAAAATTAAAAACTCAAATACAACATACATCTTGGGATGACATCTTTGAAACAAATGACCCGGAATCTGTATAAAAAAAATCATTGAAACCATAACTTCAAACAAATAAAAGTATTATTAATATTAAAGTATATAGGAAAAAATATAAGCTGACACCTTGGATGACTAACGAGTTAAAACAATAAATACAAAAAATAATTTACAAAAGCAAATTAAAAAAAAATCCTCACAACGAAAATTTAAAATATGAGTATAAATATTATAGAAACAAAGTAAGAAACTCAATTAAAAAAATCTAAATTTAATTATTATCAAAATTTGATTAACAATAATAAAAATAATTCACAACAACTCTGGAAAATAATTAACAATCTTTCTAATGATGTTAATAAGACAAATGGCGAAATAAAAACCATATTCGCGATTCTAATTAATTTTCGCGCGCCTGTCATTTGTCACTTATAAGTAGGATGTTTGTTTATTTACATGTGTTTGTTTCGGGTGGATTTTGTATTTGTGTTTTTTTTAACAGTTTTTAGATACTATTCTCATTGTAATAGTGTTTTTGAGTTTCATTGACCCTGTCAAATCACCAGCATTAGGACTCTCATCTCTCAATTCGACACGTGTCTATCTTCGTTCCACAAAATGCGATTCATATGTAATGTCTCTCTCTATTCAATTCGTTACGTGTTGAGTAGCTACATAGGAATCCCTGTCCAGGCCTATAGGGTTGCCATAATGTTGCCACATCATAACCTGTCAAAACCCACTGGTACCCGTTTTGTGTGGAATGCCTAATTTCTTGCACCACTACACCAAACCTTAAGGTCAATGTCAAAGCGTTGTTAATGACAAGTGACAACGGTTTTTTTAACTAATGTTTCCTGAAATAATTAGGCAAAAATAAAATACTGTTTATAGCGGTTTAGGTTTTAAATAGTATAAAGAATATTGGAAAGTCCAACATTTGTTTTACTTTTGATGAATAATATTTAAATAAGTAATATATTACAAATATTTAAAAATTATGGACTTTTCAATATTTTTTATGATATTTAAAACCTAAAACGCAAAATAAAGTCTTCTATTTTTGCCTAATTAGTTCAGGAAACGTTTGTTATATTTAAAAATTACATTTTCAACCGTGCTAATTCCAGACATACGTTTTATTAAATTCATCGTGTTACGTATTTGTTGACATTATGAGATAGAAATTTAAAGTGATATCTTGTATTACTTGGTAGTTTTTAACCTAAAAAAATCGTGAATCTTTTGCATTAGGTACATATACCTATTTATATCGATTACACCTAATTTTTTGCAATCGTTTAGTATAATTAAAATGGATTAACTTAAATTTCCAAGAAATTAGCTTTAATGATCCCTAATCAAGATAATGTATAAAAAGTGATAAAAAGGTAGTTACATTTTTGACAATTTATATAGCGGTTGTTAAAACTTGCATACAAATTGAAAACAGACCTTTCAATACTTTTTTTGTGTCAGCACCATGAAATTATTATTAAAAATATGGTGCTCTTTCGGATTAGGAGTGGCATTTATTGGATTTAATTTTGCAGGTATGGTGTAGAGTAAATTATATAAATATACTATGAATATATATGACTGTTTAAGCAATAACTGCATTTTATACAATTATACCGGGTGTTCATTTCATGCGCATTTCCTCGACATTTAATTTGTGCTATAGACGCGCAAACAAGATTTAAAAATACAAACTTTAATACTATTTATGCAACTAGTTACGAAATGCCTTATATTATGTAACGAGTAAACGAGTTACACAAAACGACATTTCATAACGTGTTACATACAATATTTTTTCTAATTTTGACTAGAATATTTATAAAATTGTATTTTTGGTAAATATTATTAACATCTAGGCAACCAATATTACTTTATTGTATATGCATAACTTTATTCATCAAATAGAAGATCATATTAATTTATTCTCAAGCTTGTTGTAGATATTTAGTTTTCAAAAAGTGTGTTATTTTGTCGTCATTGTATTTTAATTATTTTGTGCTAATTTAGAATGGGAAATAAGGACCAAAACAACATTATTATTAGGTTATAAGTTCACTAATCAAATTATATTTTTATATAGTCAACCTTGAACTTTCCCATAACTTTCAATAATAATTTATGCCTATATTGATTTTAAAACCAAAAAAGATTTATTTTTATTAGTTTTCTTTTCATAACTGGAGACATAATGCATTTTTTGTAATCAGTTTCATAATGGTTAAGTTTATGCAACTGGTTGAATAAAGTATAGATCATTTTGATCTTGCTGCGATTACAAAAAAAATTATTATGCTTTGATATTAATTTAAATTTATTAAAATTTATTTCTCTCTTGCCTTTGTCTTTCTCTATTCAATACAACATGTTGAATTCGCACATAAGAACCCCTTTTCAGAAAGCTCTTTTTTTTAACATTCATTCACCTGTCAATTATTATTGAACATAGATCATAACTAACTAGACATAAAAACACTAGAGATTACAAGCTACAGTCTGTTCGCTGTACTTTCGCGGGTTTGGAGTATTTCCAGGTAAGTACTCGAAAGTTTGACCTGTTTTTTGGGGGAAATATCAACTGGTTAAATGAAATGAAAAATAACGTACTACTTTTTAATTAAATATTAATGGAGAATATTTTGTACAATTGAGAGCAGAATTAAACTTCTTCATTAATGGAGTCTAATGTGACTATTATAAACCTAATAATAATTTTATATTACACTTCACACAGAAAATATGATCTATGTATAATAAGAGGGTCATTTAGCTCAAATAAAATATTTTCTAACATAAAAATTTGTTCCATGTGGAGAATTTCAAATGAAAAATAAAAAAATTGAACTTGCCAACAAAAATGAAAATCAGTCATGATCATCCAAAATATCATAATCGTCATCATCATCACTGTCATCACCATTAATTGTTATTATGATTGGACTTATTTCGTTTATTTTATTTTCACGAGTCCACCAATCTTCTATTAGTTTCCCGCACTTGGATATACAGTTCCGTCACACTTGTGGAGTTGCAATTGAAAGTGCTTTTCGCCAAGTTTCCCGAACTGCGTCGTCACTATAACCATTAGGCCCAATATGGTTGTCATAATATTGTTTTGCTATTCCCCATATATATTCTATGGGATTACACTGGTAATGATACGGTGGCAGACGTAAAACTTGATGACCGTAACTTTCAATAATCTGATCCACAACAAAGGTTTTTGGTTTTGCGTGTATATTTGCCAAGCGTAATAATTCTGATTTTAATATATATTGAGGAAATGGTATATGTTACTTTGTTAACCATTCTTTAATTGTATCAACAGTCCAAGAATTCTTTGGACTTTTGTTTAATATTTCAGAATGGTAAGGTGCATTGTCTAAAATAATTACGCTGGGCTCACTTAAACCTAGAAGTTTTTCATGCAACCATTTTACAAACATTTCTGTGTTCATATTATCGTGATAGTTACTGGATTTTGATTTAGATGAAAATATTAAATCAGCACCTTCTATAAAACCCGATTTCCCTCCTGCATGTGTCGCTTCCCTTCTCCATCGGTATGTTTGATGGACTTTACGTTATCATCTTGCTATATTCTCTTGGTTGCACCCCTAGAAAATATCCATGTTTGGTCTAAATATATAAAATTCGCCCCTTCTTCTTTAAATTTAGAATATTTTCTTAGAAAGTTAATTCTCTTGTGCAAGACAGAACTTCTTTCACAGAGGGCCTTTCTGTTATCCTCCTTTTGAAATTTGAAACCCAAGTTATGTATCACTTGCCATAGACTTGTTCTGCCAATGTCGTTAAATTTTCTATCTATTAATTCTGAGAGAATTGTATTTAAGGTCACATGTTCCTTGTTGGCCCTCATTCGATAAATAGTATCACGGATTTCAAATTTCTTTCCATCTGGAATATCTTTCGTTTTCAATGATGGGCGAGTTTTGCCGTGATCTTCTTTCGGCAGTTCACTTTTGTGATTTTGTAATACTCCTCTTAATTTGGTTCCACTAATTCCTAGAGCATCGCATACGCATTGTTGTACAGACATTACCGATTTTAAAGGACCGCCATTTTCTTTTTCATCCGTAAAATACTTATGTACATTACAAATTAGAATATCTAACACACGTCTAGGAATTTTTAAAATTTCCACTAAATTTACAATATACATACAATGTCAACACTTGCAAAGAATCAATTCAACTGCAATATTTGTAACAAATTTAGTACCTACCCTAATGTTATTTTAATATAAATCTGACCATTAGGGCTATTTTACTTAAATTCTTGGAAAGAAGCTTATTAGAACTGGTTGTCAATGACTAATTTGCATAATTTTGTTAATCCGAAACCCGCGTAAGTATAGCGAACAGACTGTAATTTGATTGTCTCAAAAGTTTAAAGCAGAATAGATGCAAAAGACAGCTGGCATTGTGTTTTTCGTTAAATAATTTATCTGAGAGAGACACTTTGAATTTTTATAACAGTGATACTTTTTTTAAAAGTTAATTACTTTTAACTATTGATCTAAAAAGCAATGAACAAAACCAATTTACCTAGATTAGTTAAATATTCAAATTAGGACAGCTGGAACTTTTCAAAAAATTTCCATTTATCTGAAATTGTTAGACGGTTTACTGTATCAAACAGAAAAAATTAAATAAACATTTAAATTATTAAATAATAATGATTAATGTTATTTTATATTTTGTGATATTATTAATTTAAAAGTAAATTAATAATAAAGATATTCATGAACACCATCTTGTAATAATAACTATAAATAACTTTTAAAATCTATTCATGGTCCTTCTAGCCGGATGAAAAAGGGATTCATGAACATCATCTTACAGTAACATTTTTTACTTTGAAATTCAAATCATATAACTGATTCTATCATTTTACACCGCATTGTATATAAAACAAGAGTATTTCCTAAAATTTATTTTTGTTTTTTAGATATTTGTCCTAGAAAAGATGGGACAGAATTAATATCTGATCCGACCAATTGTAGCCGATATGTTGTCTGTCGAAATGAAGAGGCTATCTACATGGCATGTCCGAGCGGTTTACACTTCGATGAAAAACACAAAAGTTGCACCTATCCAGAAATAATAAATAGAGACAACCCCTGCGAATATTCTGATATGATTTATTTTAAAGCTCACCATTGTGATTGTAGAAAATATATTTATTGTGATAATGGACGAGTTACAGAGCTAGATTGTCAAAACAGTAAATTTGGGTTTATCAATAAAAGAGTTAATGAAGTTTGTAATAGATCAATATGTCGTAGATAAAATGTTAGTAAAATATGTTAGTAAAATATGTTATCTGTATGCTGTTTCTAAATAAAAATAATGAAGTTATTA